GTTATAGGTTGAAAAAGGTTGGTCCATACAAGAAGCTACCTTAGATAGATCAGAGTTCCTTCTGGAAAAGAACAAGTTGGCATGGTAAAGCTAACCCAAATACTCAGGAAACACAGGGGTTAAAGACAATCTCTCCCATATTAAACAGATGATACTTCTGTGTGTTTGCAAGGTTGGAAACAACCTTGGACTGAAGCATCTTACTACTCAAAATTGGCATCAGTCCTGAAATCAGATTATTTGAACAGTGTTAAACCCTTAATTGCTGGTCCTCTTCAGTAAAAGCATCCAGGAAATGGGCATCATCCCAAAATACTTTAGATTTGCCTCAGAAATAGCTGGTGCTTCTTGGATGTGTTCAACAATGTAGTTGCAAGAGCACATTGAAAATATGCAGAGTTTCATGAAGAACTCTTACCAGTCTCTTATCCTGGGATATTCTGAAGTCCAGCACCATTCCTGTGGAATTTATCCTTGCTGGGAAGCTGAGCACATAGTTGTAATATCAGTGTCTTTTCCTGCAATAGGACAAGGCAGTTGCTAATCTGTCTTTAGAAGTGAACTGGCACGTATTTGGAGGAAGAGTGCATTCCTTGATCTCTTCCTTTTCTTTTTTTCTTCAGGGCATGGATCAAGAAAGTCCCTCTCTATGAGACGATAAGTGCCAATGTTGGGGCAGGAGGGGAAACAAAAAATGCATGTTTTGCATAAATCCAAAACTCTATTATTTTCTTGTAGATGTTGTAAGTTGCTGTGTACTCCTAGCACCATTGTACAGACTGAGGACACTTCAAATGGAATTAAGTATTTAACACTAAAAGCACCTTTTTACAGTTAGCACACCCACTATTTAATAAATTTAATAGAATTGCACTTTGAGGTTTCTTGTATTCCATCTATACATGGAAGTAAACAAGCTTGTTACAGGGGGGTGTGTGCATCAGTAGTATTAGAGCTTAGCATTTACTGCGCTGTCCTGCTGTTAAGCTCTGCAGGGTTGTGAAGTGTGTCAATGTCACCTCCTAGTCAGCTTGTCTGAAAGGGGTGGATCTAAGTACCAAATTCTTTCCCATCATCAGCTGGATTTTTGGCTGGATTTGTTGTGGTTGTAAAAGGATGTAGTTAAAACTGGATCGAGTTGAGTACTGAGTTGAAGGTTCAAGGTAGCTCTTCAGCTCTTAACTCCCTCTTCGAGTGCATGACTGAGGGCTAAAACTGAAACATTGGTGATGTGATGCTTCCCCCTCCTCCCCTTCCTTTTCTTTGAGGACCTTTGAGTCCTCTTCTGGAGGCCCTGAGCTGGAGAGATGGACTTTGAACCAGGAGTTTTTACAACAGTGCCGTACCCTGTTCCTTGACTTCTCACTGGTGACATCTGTTAGTGTTGATGCTGTCCTTGGCAACTTGCAACGGGAATATCATCTATAGAACTAAGATGATAAAACCAGTGATCTGAATAATGGAAGTGGACTGATCTAGATGAGGTGGATAGCTCAGAAGTGGCTGTTTTCACAGGGGAGTATTGAGGTTTCCCTAACCAACTGGTCCTTGATCTATAATGTTTAATAGCACTTGCTTACTTGTTAAAAAGCTACTATAACTATAGCCTTTACCCCAAGCAGTTAGTGGAAAGGATCCACTCTAACAGTGCAGTCCAAGTTACTTCCTCTGTACCCTAAGCACTTCAAGTAAATAAGGAATACAGATTTGTATTTGGCTTTTGTGCTGCATAAAGCCTGTGTTACATTAGCCTCAAAGAATAAAAGGAGGGAGGGAATTACTTCTAGCATGGAGCTCTTTAAGAGTCTGGAAAATACAGGACTGCTGCTCTTGGACATCTAATACAGGAATGTGGTGCTCTTGGAGGAAAGACTTGATTCTGATCAAGGGGAGCATCAGTGGTAGAATCTCTTCAACTTGAAGACCATTCTTGGGTAAGGATTGACTTCTTTTTCCCTGAACTTGAGCGTAGCCTTGGCATTGAATACCAAGCCAGTTCTGCTGACAAGACTTACCAGGCAAGCAGCAAGAGACAGTTAAAAGAGTATCCATGGCCTCACAGTTAAATGGCACTCTGGTAATAGCTAATACTTCACAGGTACTCCCAAGATCATGCCAGTCATCCTTTCATAAGTCTTGCAGTAGTCAGTGTATTTTCTACTCAGACAAGAAGCAATTTAGGCTCTGGTAATGCCAGCTCCCAGGAAGATGTGAGGGAGTAGTAGTAGGAGTGTTTAAAGTGTTTAGACAGCTCTTTGTCTGGAAACAAATGCTATTTTAAACTAATTCCTCAATCTTGTAGTGTACCCATGCTATGTATCCATACCAATGCTTAAAGTGGTAGGCATGAATGTTCAAGAGCTCCAGAAATACTTCTTGGATCATGTTATGTGGTGTATTCTACTCAGACAGTACTAGTCCTTTGACCTTAAAACTAGATCTTCTACTTGGCTTTTTTCCACTCAGCAGCATGATTTGTGGCCTGCATCTTAAGTCAAATGGTTTACAGCTATATTTAATACTCCAGTGGGTAAAATAGCCATGCTTCAGGCAAGTTGTGAAGTGCAGCCTGTGTTTTATGAGGCTGTGAATTGGAAGCCCAGGCTGGTTTTATTCAGCCAGGTAACCAGCCACAGGGAGATCTGAGATTTAACTTTACAGACACACATACGTGTCAGGCTTTTGTCCTCACTGAGGCTGGACTTCCCTGTGCTGGCAGCATTGACCTTGCAACTGTGGCAAGTACAGCACTGCCTTGGAAGCTTTCACATGCTTCCTGTAGCACCTCTGAAGGGCAGCTGAAGAATCTATTTGCTGCTTGGCATTACCAGAGGTGGAGGCCTCTGAGGCTGGGAGGTTGGCTTGGGCAGACTGTCTGTCTGCGACTCAAATTGACTCACTTGTAGCTGACTAAAACTTCTGTTGCAAAGTGGGTGTGCTGCAAGCACTGAAGTGGTGCCAGTGTCTTACATTGGCTTGCCACGTCCTAATTCTATATTCCAAATGTCAGTATGGTAGCACCTGGATGGCAGAAAGCTTTCTTTTACAATGTCCTGTCTTCTGCCTTATGTTGGAAAAGATTAATTGCAGGTCTCTCCATGAAAATCAAACTATGGAAGACTAGAGGCAATGGCACCTCTCCCTCTCCCCACTTACCACATGCTAACTGAGAGAAAAACACATACATGGCTTAAAAAAGAATCCTCAGATTCCCCTGACTGACTCGCTGCCTTCTCAGTCAATGAGACTATAAGCCCCAAGTAATTTCATGGCCATAGAAGTAAGGCAGATACCAGTGTTTTTGCTGAAGTCTGACAAGGATGGTCATTTCTGCTCTTAAACCTCTTTCTGGTGGAAAAGCCAGAAGCTCTGAATTTACTGCCGCTGTTGTTGATTAAAGGGAACCATCAGGAGTCACCAGTACACCCCACCACAGGGACATCTGTTAGAAAATACTGGAGGCTAACACACAACTTCACAGTCAAGCTCTAGGAATAAGCATCTTTTTGTAAGTAGCTTTTGATTACCTTGTTTTTCCCCAGAACATACTGTGAATGACTGGCAAGGAACAGGGGGTCACTTTTACTAATGACTCAAGACATGTAGGAGGGAGAAAACACATTTTAATGTATATTTTCCCCTGTCATCTTTTTCCAAAGCTCTCGGGAGGAAACAATACAATCATCTTCCATGAGTTTTAGTCTATGGTCCCTTGATGTCAGTGTTAACATTCACCCTGCTAATGTCAGAGCTTCATCATGCCTTTCTTTTCCTTTCAATGTAAGCATAAGCACAGAGCCTGAATTCCCTGTAAATCCTTCCTACTCCTGTCAAAGCAAACCTGTTTCTCCTCCTCCTTTTGCAGACTATCACTGTGTATCCCGCCTCAGTCCTGAAATCACAGCTTTATACCACTGCACCTTGATGTTTCAGAAAGAGCTACCTGCTCTAATGCAGTTCAGAGCTAGCTCTATCTTCCTAACTGAGCCTGCAAGATTAGGTAGAGTAAAAGCATGGTCAGTCCACAAGGTCAACAGAGTAGACACAACTTCTTCCTCCTGCTTATGTTTTCTTTACTACTGCTCTGTGGTTTACATGCCTATATTGAAAACCACTGTGAAAGCCTTACACACATTCCTGTGGGGTGATTCATAACGTAACGGCAGTAAACAAAAAAAAGGTGGAATTTATTTCCCCAAGGAAAAAAAACCCCTCAGATGTATCAAAACAATTGATACTAAAATGTATGTAGAAATGAATCCTTTTCATTATTAACATGAAACCCCCTTTTTAACTCACTAAACCCACTCCCTCTTTACACTCAGCTCCCACTCCTAGAGGCTCAAGAAATGCTTGAGATGTTGCAGAACTGTGTGTATTAATGGTGATGATGTTGAAGTTTTATTACACACAAACCCAACTCCAAGTCTTATTAACACTGCAATTTTGTCTCTAAGTACATCCCCTTGATTAACCTTCCTCCCCTTCAGCAGAGCTCTTTATTCCCCAGCTGCCAGTACTAGGACAAATACACTGAAATTCACACAGGCTGTATGCGGAGAGGAAAAAAACAATACAGTACAACCTGCTGCTTATGAGCACGTAAGTGAACTCCCAGTGCTCTGTATCTAATACAATAACTTCACAGAGAAAAGACACTTCAACAGACAGCCTGCTCCTGCTGCAGGTTTGCTGGCAATACCTTGGCAGTCACTGTTTCCTGCCACAGTCACGTGTGGCAATGCAGAGCCCAATCTGACCAAGGCAGATGACCCTTAGCACACGTTTTACATAAAGATATGGTTGATGGAGAGTTGTTTAATGCAGTTCCCTTCTGGCTGCAGAGGGGCAGGAATGGGCAGCCAGTGTACAACATCATATGTGTCACCTGTACATTCCGAGTTTAATAAAGCTCCTTCTGGTGGTTTCTTCCTCATCCTTTGGATCTTTCCTTTCACTCCACCAGAAGAGGTCAAGGAGGGTGCAGCAGATGACTGCTGTTAATCAGATTCCGACTTCTCATTAGATTTAGATGACTTACGCTTTCTCTTCTTCTTCTTCTTCTTTTCTTTCTTTTTCTTTTCCTTCTTTCTCTTTTTTTTCTTGTGTTTATCTCTGCCTTCGGAGGAAGTGGAGCTGCTGCTGTCTTCATCATCCTTATCACTGTTATCTTCTGAGGTAGAGTCCTCCAAGAGTTGCTTCAGCTGCTGTATCCTGAGTTTAAAAAATGGAATGAGAATCTTTTCTAGCTCTTCTTTACCTGTAACACCTTACTGTAGCTTTCATCTGTTTCCTTCCTAGCCTGAGAAATGGGAGCTGCGTGCAAAGGGCAGGGGAACACTTCTGCTCCTGCTGAATTACACTCCTGTTACAGTATCTGCAGACTGGTAAAAGCGATCTCTTTTGAGACAAGCAGATGCTCTGTCCTCTGGGACTTCCCATCCCACAGGATACCAAAGGCAGAGCAGGATATTGGCCAGTATTTATGTGTGCAAAACAATAAGGCTACAGCGATCACCAGACCACCCTAAGAAGTTCTGTGCTTATCTATATGCAAATGCATATTGGAAGGCTGATCTTACGACATTCATTGCCCTGATGACAGAGAGAGGATGGCATTGAAGCCTTTTTTAGGCCTCAGCTAAACTAATCACAAGTACCTGACATATATGGCATAAATGACTGACTACTCCATAAACTTTGTTTTGGGAAAAAGTGTAGAAGATGATAGAATTAAAGAGGCAGGAAGTATTATGGTGTGATTCTTAAGAAAGCAGAAATGCATTAGGCTCTACCAACATAAAGAAACTGCCATTAAACAAAATATAAAGGTAAGCCTGTATCAATCTGAATCTGTATCAAGATTTCCCCTATATATTAGTATCATGACCAAAATGAAAACCAAATTGAAAATGCATTTTGCTACGGAGCCATTCTTACCTCTTTTCTCTTTCTTGCCGTTTATTTTCCTTTATTATATTGTACATTGGATCTTCATGGGCCTTTAAAGTGGAAAACAGAAAATCCAGTGTTGGTAAAGCAAAGTATTTATCACTGACTTGTATTTCCTAAAAACAAATAAACCAAAGCAACCCACTTCCAGAGGCTTTTATCAGAAGGTGAAATACAGTTAGCAAGCTCTTAATTCCCAAGTATACTCTCAGGTTTACCATGGTTAATCTGGACTGGTTTGGGTTTTATTACTTTAGGAAAAGCTTATCCAAATTGCACCAGAAGGGGACCCTTCTTAGGTATAATGCCTCTCTGCCTCTTCAAGCAGTTAGCTAAGAGAACCCCTTCCATATGCTACAGGGATCACTAGGCAAACATAGAGAAGTTCAAAATACTGAGGTGTAAGTACCCTTATAGCTTATTTTAATATAAACACACAGGAATGATTACAGGAGCAAGGAATATAAGACAAACAAATAATGAAGTTGGAGTTGTCCTAGCTTGCTTTGCACTACCATTAGTGGTTCTTAACTCAGTCCTTTTGCAGTGAAACAGGCATTGCAGCAAAGCTCCTTGTGAAGGAAGGTAGCACATAAACGCTGCAGATGTTTAAGGTGAGTTCATGCCATGTGAGAATGCAGCAAGAAGATGGGGCCATCATTTCTGTTGGAAGATTGAGCAAACAAGTTCAACAGAGGAGAGGGATCTGATGTTGACCAGAGGTGGGAATTAAAATGTCAGTAGCAAATGAAAGATGTTGGGAATGCGCCATGAAGGGCTTTGGACATAGAGCAAGAGTTTGAAGCAACAGAGAAAAAGCCTGAGGAACAGTGAAGAATAGAGGCAATCTGGTCACGGGAGAGAGCTAAAACTACTCTTTGCAGTAGTGTACAATCAGCAGGAGCCCAGAATCAGGAGAGAATGAGTCCAGACTACATTTTTTAAGGATAGAAATGAGGACATAAGGTGATGAGAGCTTGAAATATGGGTTAAGAATGCAGAGCCACAGGAAAAGTTAGAGAGGTCATGCAGAAAGACTCTGCAGAACTGAGATGCAGCCTCGTGTAGCAGGAGATCAGACCTGTAGACAACTGGATTACAGACCTAGACAACAGGCTTCATGATGTGGTTGTTCACAGCGACAGCAGAAGGCTTGAAGCAGCTGCAATGTGGGCAGCTCAAGCTTGACTAGACATTTTGTGTTACGTTGACATTTTAATCACAAACACTGAATGTAATGGTTGAAACAGCTGCTTGAAGATTTTCAATGTAAATGTAAAAATTACTAATTTTCCTTTTGAAGAGCAGATTTTCTGCAAAGCAGTCAAACATCCAACCACATCTGTAGCTTTTTCTTTATTAGGAGATTTTCGGCATCTGTATTATACTAGAGACAGGGGAAAAGTCCTTAATAAAGCATCATCTACTAGGCTTCGCTTCACTTGCAAGATTATGCATTGTCAGTATTAACAAGCACGAGCAGTAATATTACAGTATTTGTACTCACTACTCTAAACTGTTCCAATTTCTGGTTGCCTTTAATGAAGAACGGGCATTCTTTATCTCCTGTTCTGTGTCCGTAACGTTTACACCTCCAACCTTTAAAAACAAAGCAGCAGTGAATTGCATCTCTGAGCCAGATCAGAAGAAAAACACCAAAAACGTATTTATGCAAAGTATTTTCCATGTGTTGGAACAAACAGTATGATGTTCATAAAAGTATGGCTTTTATGAAAGGCTGGGCAAGGCTACTGCATCCTTCAAGATACTTTTGTATCAGCATGTCACAGATTCATAGAATGATTTCAGTTGGAAGGGACCTTAAAGCTCCTCCAGTTCCAACCCCTGCCCCGGGCAGGGACACCTTCCACTAGAGCAGGTTGCTCCAAGCCCCGGTGTCCAACCTGGCCTTGAACACTGCCAGGGATGGGGCAGTCACAGCTTCTCTGGGCTCCCTGTGCCAGCGCCTCAGCACCCTCACAGGGAAGAGCTTCTGCCTCAGAGCTCATCTCAATCTCCCCTCTGGCAGGTTCAAGCCATTCCCCTTGTCCTGTCCCTACATCCCTGGGCCAAAGCCCCTCTCCAGGTCTCCTGGAGCCCCTTTAGGCACTGGAGCTGCTCCAAGGTGTCCCCTTCAGGAGCCTTCTCTTCTCCAGCTGCCCCAGCCCAGCTCTCTCAGCCTGGCTCCAGAGCAGAGCTGCTCCAGCCCTCGCAGCAGCTTCGGGGCCTCCTCTGGCCTCGCTCCAGCAGCTCCACGTCCCTCTTGTGCTGTTCCCCAGAGCTGGATCAGGGCTGCAGGGGGGGTCTCACCAGAGTGTGGTAGAGGGAGAGAATCCTCTCCCTTGACCTGCTGGCCAATCTACCTGGACCTCGTCATCTGTCCAGCAGACATTCTGCCCTCCCCCACTGCAAGTGGATGGCTCATGAAGGTCCAGTGACATCTGGAATATTTTCAGCCTTACACTGCATGACTTTGACTTCTTTTCCCAAAGGCATCCAAAGCCCTTTTGTCGGGGCATGTGCCAGGAATTCTCGGGCACCTTCATTGCCCGGCATATCAGGTATGCAGTCCTCTGGTTTTGTTTCATTCTCCTATGGAAAAAAATAAGGAGAATAAAATAACTTCTTTACCTTGGTAAAAATCAATACCTCAAATGTTCAGGCTTTCACTTAATATAGAAGCTATTTTCCCTCTAGCATTTCTTTTTCTTGTAACATGTAAGGGATTTAAAACACTTTTAACAGCATTAAATTATTTTCTTTTGTCCTTCACCCTTGAATTTTCCAGCCTGGACTTTATTGCCATAATAATTCCATTCCTTCCTGTTTATTTTAGTAATTTATTTAAATAAGTAAAGTAAATGAAAACTTAACAGACAAGTGGAGGCCTCTTTTTCCTCTTCCTTCTAACAAGACATATCAAAAGCTGCCTTTACATCACAGAGTGTTTCTTTAGCTTAAAAGCACTAAATGATGGCTTAGGTATAGAAATTGGGCAAAAGAAGTTATAATTGTGAAAGGAAAAGAAGTATTTTTACACAAATATTCAAGCATAAGTAACCCAGAAGCATCCTGAAAAGATGTCAAACTGAAAATCTGCTTTACCATAAATGACTCCCTTTCATCCTCCCTATTAAATACTGCATGAAGTGTGTGTGCTAAAGGGTGATGAAAGAACTGGTCTCATCCTATCTGGGCATTTCACTCTTGATTCATCAAGTCAAAGAGTTCAGGTTGTAACTGAGGAGATTGAGTTTTACCCTGGAAGCACCAACGTATACAGGTAACAGGCTGTGTGGAAAATCCCTCGTAATGCTAACCATTTACTGCAAATTATTTACCAACCTTAATTAGCCCAGGGGGAGGTTTCTCATAGCTGAAAAGCAATAGGAACATCGTTACTCTGCAGCTTAGCACAAGTACATTGAGAATACACAGTACTTTGATGGTATAGAGCTAAAACTTTCACCTCATGTTTTCCCTCGGGTTTCGTTCTCTCAATAGTTACCAAGATGCAAGCAGACAGACACACTGTTTCTCATATGGCCACACACGCTTCTCGCAAACATCCTTCAGGTTCATACTCATGTGGGAGAACTCCTCTCATTGCGCTGCTTTACAGGGGTGTCTGGTACACCCAGTTCACCTTCAGTTATCATAAATGCACAATTCTCTCCTCTCTTCCTGTAGCTCCCTCCCCAGGATCTCAGTGATCCACATGTCTTAACTCCAGCACTGCTGAATCACAGACACAGCCAGCCGAGAACGTCGCATCACACCGTTCCTTACACCCAGGCCTGCCAGCCAAACCTAACACATACTGATTTCATCTCTCCGTGTATTAAAGACAGAGCCACACAGACCCAAGTATCATCTTCCCTGCAGAATTTCTCTAGAGCCAACAGCAGATACAAACCGTATTTGAATCCAAACATCAAGCTACATAGAGCACAGCACCTGAGAAAGTGCCTGCGTTGGGAGTTAAATGCCAAGGCACTATGAAATGGTCTCATTTTTGAGTGCTGTTTAGTGCATTTCAGAACAGATTTTTACTTCCATTTGGAAAGGGGAAAAAAAAATGATCATATTCTTGTGAACCTCCTGATCTTTTTATTCCGTTAAACCCCTTTCAATGAAACACCATAAACCTTTTACAGCACTGCGGATTACTGATGGAGTCATTAGGCACATCTCAAACCTTTGTATCTTAATTTCTTTCTTTATTCTTTAACCCGCTCTAGTGGAAAGCGCCTGAACAACCTCTGCTTCTACGCTGCCACTCCAAGACTTCCAGGAACCTGGCGGAAACCCATTTTTCCCCCGACAACAAACGGTTACAGAGTCACACCGAGCAGCTCTGCAAGCGGCCCCGCTCCCGCAGACCTGCTTATGGATAAAAACGAGACACGCT